AGCGATCCTGTGCTCAGTCTCCCAGAGCTGGGACTACAGGCATGTGCAACCATGCCCGGCTAATTTTTTCTATATATATTATTGACCACTTTAATTTCTTTCTACTTTATAATAGAGACGGGGGGTCTCGCTCGTGCTCAGGTTTGGGTTTCGAACGTCCCATTCGATCTGTACCACCTTACAAAGCAGGTACTATTTCTTATCCCCATTTCATAGGTAACATGTTTATCAAGTGATAGAGACTGATCAGAACACAGACCTGGCTGATTTTGACAGCTGCACACTTCAACAGGTCACAATTTAGGAGACTCATATTAGACAAATGCAAAATTAATCCATTATAAAATGATCATTTAGATTTTACCAATGGTGGAACTAATAAGGTAAATAATTTGATATTTCCAACATCAAATAAATCAGTGTAATATCCATATTTAAAACATTTGTTTAGTTTTGGATCTGCCTACTAGGTCAAAATATTTTCACTATAAAATTGGGAGAAAAGCTGTTTATTCAGAAGAAAAAAATTTAATGATTTAATGTTAAGTATATTATAGAAAGATCCCCCAAACAGTAGACTTTACCATACCATGAGCCTTGGCCCACTGTAAATTTCGCACCAGAGATTCTGCAGAATGTTCTGTTCCCTGTATTGGATCAGTAAGTGCTCTCTTCTCAGATAAACTACTTCGAATCTCTAGTGCTTGTTTGCCTTTGGTAAGGTGGCATTTCCCCATATCTAAAAGAAAGTAAATATTATTTTTAAGACCACTGATTCTTTTGTTATGTTTTAAATATTTAGGCTAAAAACTTTCCTACAAATCAGGTTATACTCTCAATATCATCCATTCACTCAACAAATATTTCCTGAGCACCTACTATGTGCCACATATTTTTTAAGATGCTGGGGATGTAGCAATGAACAAACACATAAAATTATTGGACCAGTTCATTTTTTTTTTTTTGAGACAGAGTCTCACTTGTTGCCCAGGCTAGGTGAGTGCCGTGGCATCAGCCTAGCCACAGGCAACCTCCACAACCTGGCTCGAGTGGATCCTTCTGCCTCAGCCTCCCGAGTAGCTGGGCACTCACAGGCATGCGTCACCCATGCCCGGCTAATTTTTTTTTTACTATACATCAGTTGGCCAAATAATATTTCTATTTATAGGAGAGACGGGTCTCGCTCGTTGCTCAGCTGGTTTGAACTCCTGACCTTGAGCAATCGCCCGCCTCGGCCTCCCAGAGAGCTAGGATTACAGGCGTGAGCCACCGCGCCCGGCCTGGACCAGTTCACTTTTAAAGGTTACTTCCTAGCTTTTATCTTCCATAAGTCTATTTAAAGATCCCTAATATCCTAGGCCTTAAAATCCACAAAGAACTAAAAGTGTATTTCTTTACTAAAAGAGCAGCCATGATAATTTGCATATCTATGAAAAAAGTTAAAACAAGCAGCCACATTTACCCCCAATATCTTTATTTTTAAAATAGGAAATAATGTGTTAAAACCACCCATCTGGTTAAAGCACCACCACTCTTCTCCCCTGACCTGAAGTAACCATTACCCAATGTAGTGTGTATATTCCCATGCATATTTTAATTTTTACTCATGTATAGGTATTCATAAATAGTATGTGCAATGTTTCAGGTTTTGAATTTAATAAAGATCTTATGTGCATGCTTTTGTAACGTACTATTTTCATTCAATATGTTTCAGATACAAATTAATGTATATTGATATATACCAATTTAAATTTCAAACTATCATATCAGGTCAACAAGGAAGCTGGTGTGGCTCTCTTAATATTAAACAAATGATGAAAAGCATTATTTGAGATGGAGGCATCATTACATAATCATAAAAGGTACAATTCACTAAGAAAATATAAACATTTAAAAACACTTATACTACTAATAAAACAGTCACAATATATATGAAGTAAAAGCTGATACAATTACAGGGAAAAAATTGGTAAACTGGGAGGTTTCAACATCTCTCTCAATGATTGATCAAAGAGAAAAAAACATCAGCAAAAGTACAGAATAACACAATAAAAATTAATAAGCCTAACCTAATGGACATATATAGAGTTCTACATGCAATAACTATAGAGAACATCCATTTCTTTCTCAAGCACATATGTGATATTTATGAATATGATCTTGCACTTGGATATCCTTAAAGCAGGATTTTAAAACTACTGACTAAGTTCATCAAGAAAAAAATGAACTCAGCTTTTTCTAGCAGGGTCTCAAAATTTCTGTAAAGTCCTTTTGAACCCTGGGAGAGACTGCTCATGGGACTTCTTTTTGGGCAAATAAGCAGATTTGGCAGCACCAATGCACTAGGTATAGAAACAAGGTAGAGCTTTGAGGATTAAACCTTATTTCACAATTGTGCCTGGGGTCAGCCCTGTAGTCTAAGTAATGCTGCACAGATGGCGTGCAGCTGAGTCAACAGGGAAGGAAGGAAGAAATTAAATAGCAGGAGTGTTGTTAAACATCACAGAAAAAAATTGTTTTATAAAGTAAACACTAATTCCAAACCCATACAATAACAGCAAGAATAAAATAATCACCAACAGGGAACTCTGAGTAGGTGTATTTCCCTCTCTCTCTCCTTTTTCCAAGTAATTTTCTCTTTATTTTTTATTTTACCTTCTGCAACTTCATCCAGTAACACGGTAATTTTCTTGTCTTCTAATAATCTATCTTTCAAAAATTTCATAAAGATCCCATTTGCCAATCCAGAATGCTGGATTTCAAAAGCTTCTGCTCCTTGACACCTTGAAAACAACAAAATAAAGAAGTGGAATGAACCAGGCACAGAAAGGCAAATACCACATGTTCTCACTTACATGTGGAGGCTAAAAAAAGATGAACTCACAGGGATGGGGGCTGAGGAGATGTTGATTAAAGGGTACAATGTTTCAGTTAGACAGGAGGAAAAAATGGTAAATATCTGAGGTGGTGGATATGTTAATTAACTTGATTCAACCATTCCACATTAAATACAGACATCATAGCATCACTTTGTACCCCACAAATAGATAATTATAATCTGTCAATACTAAATAAAAATAATTTTAAAAAAGAAAATTTAAAAAAGGCAACTTGCCACATGGGACTTCTGTATACACGACTGAGCTTCCTTATCTTTCCTGCCCCCTTGCTTGACATCCCTAAAGAGTTAATCTTTTTTTGTGTGTGTGTGACAGAGTGATCTCACTCTGTTGCCAGGGCTAGAGTGCAGTGGTGTCAGCCTCGCTCACAGCAATCTTAAACTCCTGGGCTCAAGTGATCCTTCTGCCTCAGCCTCCCAAGTAGCTGGGACTACAGGTATGCGCCACCATGTCTGGCTCATTTTTTCTATATATTTTTAGTTGGCCAATTAATTTTTATTTTTAGTAGAGATGGGGTCTTGCTCTTGCTCAGGCTGGTTTCAAACTCCTGACCTTGCGCAATCTGCCCACCTTGGCCTCCCAGATAAAGAGTTAATCTTTAAGCAGGAACTAAATGGTTTCAGGCTTAGTGATAAGACAGTAAAACATAAAATGCTAAAGTCTATTATTTAAAATTTTGTGCCAAGAATATCAAGAAGGCAAATTTGCGCCCAGATGTCCATGGATATTTCTAGGCCTTTAACCTATAATCAAAAAGAAGACATGAAAGAATAGAATCTTCAACATAAACATAAAATTTTCTTACGTGGCATATCCAAACACAATATTGGCAGTGACTTTTAATGCATCCAAGATTGGAATGGTATCATCATAGTCATTTCTATTTAAAAGAAGGAAAGAGAGAAGGGCAGATATAAATGGGAAGTTAAACAGCATTCTTAAAAGAGTATAAATAACATAATGAGAAAATATAATACTATTTTAGTATACATAATTTAAAACTATAGACTCAAACTTCTTTCATCTTGTCAGCTACATATTAACCCAATTGAGGGCTCCTACACTATTAAGACAGTAGACAGTCATATCTTTTCTTTTAGTTTTAAAACTGGAGTTGCATTTGAACTCTGGCATTGAATTTTAATTGGTAAATGCTGAGCAAGCAAAAAACAGTACATCTGGGGGGAGTAGTCATTGCTTCTATTCTTTAGTAAGACAATGGCAGACAAATGGTATCCAAATCTTCAAACACCTGCTTCAGCTATACTTTCTGTATCTCCAAGACCAGGACTGACTAGTGACCAGAGGCCTCAACTCTGCAGGTGTTGTTGTTAAGTCCTGAGGGAGTAACTGTAGTGATTAGTAGAGACATCTTAAGGCATTCTGGAGGGTTGAATCCCTTGTAGTATGAGCACCCACACCCTTTAGTTCTTCACTTGTGTGTTATGGCAAATAGGAAAAGAGTTAATATAATCAGATATAAATGGAGTAAATATATTTTCCTCTAGTTTTATTCTTTTGGTTTCAAGGTATAACCTAAAATTCATGAACTCAAATGGTTCTTAGCATATCACAGGTTTGCCTTAGGGTTTAATTTGTCAAGGCTGATATTTAACTTTAATATAATTGTTTAAAAATTATTAGAAATTTTACCTTTTCCTACACATATCCAACAAGAACACATTGAGTCCAGTTTCTTTTTCTTGCATCAATTTCAGTATATTTTGTACACATAGGCAATTTTCAGACCTGTATGGATTTGGAGCATCAATAGGGACCATAAAGCTGTTCCCAAAGTTTTCGTAACCATGTCCTGCGTAATATAATAACCCTGAGGAGAGAAAGAATAAAAGGGAAGTGTTAACTCTAAATACACTCTGAACAGATAGCATAGTTAAAAAAAAAAAAACTATGACTTTTATTTTTTTCAAATTGATGAGAGCCTATTTAAATAATACTTAATTTTAAAGTCGATGTTAATTTGCATTTAAAATTATTTTGTCAACAGTCTTCACTTAAATGATACATTTAAAACATCAATATGCTGTCTGAAGTGTATTCTAATTCATAAATGCATTAGATTCTAATCAATGATGTAATATGAAATGCAATTTTATATTATGATATATAAAAGAAGGTGGCCTAGGGCTTCTTTACTCATCTGTCTCCTACACAAAGCTAGGAGCTTCTTCAGAACAGAGACAGTCTTAAGTTTATTCGTATATCCCTGGCACAGAGCAGGGATTTTTTTTATATGGTATGTTAAAGTTAACAGTAAAAGGCACTTAGGGAACCCAAAATAGCTAATCCATTGTAATTATAGCCCCAACTTTCCCAGTGGAGAACATGGCTTTGAGAACTAAAGACAACTTACTTCACCTAATCCTAGAGGGCAGAATCCAGGTTCTGCTTTTCTTAAATTTCTATTAAAATGAAAAAAATTACTCTTACATACACAGCATTTCTGGTAAAATGAGAAAATGGATACACCCATTTCTTCACTGTGGATTTATGCTGTAGCTCATGTGTGCACTGAATATAATCATGTAGGTACTGAGGGAAATGAAAAAGACAAAGTTTCTGCCCTCTAGGATTTTGCAAACTAGTTGGAGATTCAGGCATGTTCATGCTATTAATCAACGATGAAAGTCAGTATATAATTGAATGCCACACATCATGTTATTAGGGCAACAATGTATGACATGAACGAAGTGCAAAGGGGAACATCAGTGTGAGGTAAAAACAACAGGGGATGGTCTTAAGAGAATGGGTAGAATTTGGAAAGGCAGAGAGAAAGTGAGCAAGTTGAGCATGCAAGGTACATGATGGGTAGGAGAACAGAAACTAACAAGGCTTGAACCTGGAATGACAGCTAGCAAAAAAGAGACTGGCCTAGCAAGGAATTAAATTATGGTTGTAAATGAAAATTAGAGAGCACAGATAGGGAGACTTTTGAAAATCATGACGAAGGAGGTGGATCTACTTTAATAAGCAAAAAAGACGAGGCAAAGATAACCACACAAGAGGAAAAAATATTTGCATATCATTTATTTGATAAGGACAACTTGTATCCAGAATGAGTTCTTCAGCTCATCAACAAAAAGAATAACCCAATTTTAAAATAGGCAAAGGATTTGAATAAATACTTTTCCAAAGACGATATATGAATGGCAAATATGCACATGAAAAGATGCTTAACATCATCAGACACTAGTGAAATGCAGATCCAAACCACAGTAAGATACCTGTTCATACTTATTAGGATGGCTATAATAAAAAGGACATATAGTAATAAGCGCTGGCAAGGATGTAGAGAAATTAGAACCTTCATTCATTTCTGGTGGAAGTGAAAAATGGTGTAAGAACTTTGGAAAGTTTAAGAGTTCCTCAAAAAGTTAAATACAGGATAACCATGTGATCCAGTAATTCTATTCCTGGGTATATACCCAAGGGAACTGGGAACTTACGCCCACCCAAAAATGTGTACACAAATGCACATATAGCAGTATTATTCATAATATCCAAACATGTCCATCTGCTGATGAATGTATAAATAAAATGTGGTATAATTACAATGTACTATTACCTAACTCTAAAATAAGGAAGTTCTAGTACATGCTACAATATGGATGAACCCTGAAAACGTTATGCTAAGTGAGAGAAGCCAGACATAAAAGGCCACATATTGAATGATTCTATTTATAAGAAATGTCCAGAATAGGCAAATCCACAGAGACAGAAAGTAGATTTGCAGTTGCCAGGGGCTTGGTAAGGAGGAATGGGAGTGACTGCTAATGGGTAAAGGGTTTCTTTTTGAAGTGATAAAAATATTATGAAGTCAAGTAGTGGTGACTGATGTCCAACTTTGTGAATATACTGCAATCACTGAATTATACTTTCAAGAGTAAAATTTATACTCTTCTATCAAGTATTCAAAATATGACTCTACTTCCCACCAGTCTCTTTACTGCTTCTAGAGTGAGATAAGCTTATTTTTAATTTCCATGATTTTTCTCAAGTTATTATGTCTCCTTTCTATCTACTCAAACTTTAATCCTCAAAGGTATCTCAAAAGTACAGAATCTTTGACAAGTTATCAGCCGGTTTGCAGCTTTCTCACGTATTTCAATCTGCTCCTCCCTTGAAATGCTACAGCGGCACTTTTTGACACTTAATCACATACTGGCTTTTATTGACATTGCCCAGTCTTACATCTACTTAGCTTTTTATTTTGTTTTGTTTCTGAGACAGAGTCTCACTCTGTTGCCCAGGCTAGAGTGCCATTGCGTCAGCCTAGCTCACAACAACCTCAAACTCCTGGGCTCAAGCGATCCTCCTGCCTCAGCCTCCCAAGTAGCTAGGACTACAGGCATTCGCCACTATGCTCGGCTAATTTTTTCTATATATTTTTAATTGTTCCGCTAATTTCTTTCTATTTATAGTAGAGACAGGGTCTCGTTCTTGCTCAGGCTGGTTTCGAACTCCTGACCTTGAGCGATCCGCCCGCCTCGGCCTCCCAGAGTACCAGAGTACTAGGATTACAGGCGTGAGCCACCGCGCGAGGCCTAACCATTTTTAAGTGTACGGTTCAGTAGTGTTAAATATATTTACATTGTCATAGAAAAGACCTCCTGAACTTTTTCATCTTACAAAACCAAAATGATTAATAAGTCATATAACCAGAATGTGGATGCAGGCCAGCTTAACCACTGTGCTATGTTATATTATCTCTATAATCGACTACTGGCTTTTTAAATTTTTATTTCAGAATATTACAGGGGTACAAATGTTTTGGTTACATAGATTGCTTTTGTACTGCTTGAGTCAAAGTTGTAAGTGTGCCCATCATTCAGATAGTGTACGTTGTACCCATTAGGTATGATTTCACCCATTCTCTCCCCTCCTCCCATCAACTATTATCTTTTTAGATAACTTTACTCTCAGAAAATACAAAATGTCAATGTATCAGTTTTTTATTGTTTTACTACGCTATTGCTTTAAACTTCTTCCCCCTTTTCTCCCTAAAGAAACCTTTGGCAGATCCTTAATATGTAAAAAACTGATGAAAGCTATTTTTCTATAATTGAGGCCTAAAGTAGAATTGTATCTACTCCAAATCCCCAATCTATAGATGAAAAAGCATTTAAATTTCTTTACTAAATTGTCAGGAAACTACAATAATAAACTAAAATTGAGCATTTTTAGTGTTCCAGGCATGGAGATAATTATTTTATCTTGCTTATCCTGTAAAAACCTCATTAATTTAGGTCAATCCATTTTATAGATCCCTTTTGGCTTAGAAAAGTTAAATAACTCAACCACAGTCATAAAGCTAGTAAGTAGAAAAGCCAGAGCTTTGGCCCACTGCTTAACCACTGAGCTTCGTGCACTGAATGATTGCTCCAGGGTAGATAAGGCTTTTGTCATATTCTGACCAGACTCTCATATTCTCACGCAAGCACAGCTAAGCGGCAGCAAACGAATACAGAAAGGCATTTGGTGGGATAGATTTCAGGCCAAATATTTACTCTTTATTCTAGCTGTCTATATAAGATAACTAGAAATTTTTATCCTGATTTATTAATATCTTCTAGGACATATAGTATAAGTCAGTTGTTTTTGTTTTTGGTTCTTACTTTTTATGTTTAAAAGTGAATTATTTTTTGTTCTATTATAATTTCTATTTCTTTTACAAACCCGTGGGCAATATAATATAACAGGGCATAAACTTGAGTCCTTCTGTTTTCCATATCTAAAGTTGTTTATGCTGAAATTCCTGTGACTCTGCCTTCCATCCTCCCCCCGACTCCTTGATTACTATGAGTCACCTGGGGATATCAACTAAAGGATTTTGGACTAAAGGCATAGTCCAAAAAAAAAAAGAAAAAAGTTAAAAGTTAAAGGTTTCTTTATGGTATGCCCTAAACCCTCAAGCCTCTACCACACTTACATTTAATGTAGATGTGTCTGATGTTTGGGATATTCACAATACTTCAAAATATAATGCAGCCATCCTGTTAAGACATGAATCAGTAGGATTTAAAAATTGTCTAACTTTCTTAAGCTGCCATTTTGCTTTGATAGGCCTCTTTATTCTGTACTCCAAGATGATGTACTTATAGTGGGGCAAAGCTTTAGCCTAAATTGAAATCTTGACACAGCTTTTTATATTTCTGGTTCTCTACTTAACAGGCACAATTAAAGGTTTCATTCCCCAACATTTCTTTATTCAACTCTAGTTCCCATTTTAAGACTGGAATATACAATACAATAGTTATAAAAAGGAAAAGGAAACAAATATAAGGTACATTCTGTTAGATCCTTTTACACTAAAACCCCAAAACCACACACAGTAATATTTTCCATATATGAGTATACATTTTGCTATTTCATAATCAAGCTTTACTATACTGTAGCTCCGGTAGTCAACAAAAAAGAAATCACAAAAGACAGGTAAGAATTCTAATACGAATAATATTGTTTTGACAAAATAAAAAACAAAAAAGTAAAGACAGTAAGCTAATTATTCATATGGAATGAAGATCAAATCTATCATTTTTAACAAGAAAAATTTTTCAGTTCAACAATGTGTTCACTTTACCTTTATTTGATTTTTTAACTCTTAACCTAACTTGTACAAGAATAGCAAGTAATTATAAAAACAAAGATTGTAAATATCTTACCATATACTCCTTTGTCTAAAAGTAGTAAAAACTCATCCACAGCATTACGCATCTCATATTCAGTAAGATCCAACAGTGAAACAACTTTGAAATCCAGCTGTCTTAATAAGTTGGTCAATTCATAAACATCCACCAAAGGAGCTTTAAGTTTGGGGTGCTCCCAGTAATTCATATTTCCTATCAAAAGAGCAACTTTGTCCTTTGCTGTTTAAAAAAAAAAAAAGGGAAGGGCATTTAAAGGAGGATATAAAGATGAAAACAAAACCTATGGAAATGGCATCATTATATTAATAATAAAAAGTATGCTTTAAGATTGCATTATTTCATTTTAAGATTTTATTATTATTTAATTTAATTTTAGAACTATTACATTATGTAGACCATTATACTCTGATGACTACAACAGGCTAAAAAACTCAATCAACTGGAAATTAAACTTACTGATACTTTTGAGAACCAGGCAAAGGATATGTTATTTGAAGCATAATGGTAATTAATATTAAAGTATACTTTTATGGAATTACAACAAAAGTAAATAATATAATATTCAACTAGACTTTTAGAGCAAATTTAAACAAGGAATATTTAAAATTGGGTTCCTGTCAAATTAGGTTCTGTTTTGCTGAGAATGGAAGAGGCTAAACAGCAGAAATACCTAAAAGAGGGACAGGAAGAATTCACATCAGAGCAAGTAAGGGGAAATACCAGAGATGACAGAAAGCAGAACTTCACAAGTACTGTGTTTTTCCTGCAGCAGCCATGTGGACATACTGTCTCCTCATAGCTTTTTAAAAAATATTTCCCGTTTGACTGAGATGACGCTACTTTAGGAAAATGTGAAAACTTTTTGTATGAATGTCTTAACAGTTCATTTTCTGAACTTAGTGCACTGAGATTTTGCTAAAGATAATGTGTTCTGATAGAAATAGTTTTCTTGTTTGTAAGAGGTAAAAAGATCTATATCTACACCTTAAAAAGTACCAACAAGCTTAATCAGGTGTGTAGCCTGTCCAACAGTTGTGGAAGGGTGGACATAGCTTAGTGCTTAAGAGGTCTTCAAAATTCTACCTTTCTTTGATAGTCTGGGGTGGGGTCAAAGGTTAAAAACTCAAGACCATCCCATGACAATAAAAAGCTATGGTAACTTTTTTCTTAAGGACAGTGAGGTGTGTGCAGTAAAAGTCACAGCAGACACCAGTATAGACATGCCAGGGAGGGGAGGAGATGGTGTGATGAGAGCACCTGGTAGCACCAGCCAACTGTCAAAGAGCCAGATGGGCAGAACGAAGGCCACCTCCTCTGATACAGGCCAGGACTTGCTGACCAACCCCCATCACGAAGTGCTGCTAAGCAGTTTATTTGTAAGTTATTATGAATATCACCCTTCTGAAGTCGAAACAGACATGAATAATCACATTCCTGACTTAATGTCTATAATATATAATTCTGATGTTTTAAATCACTAAGATTTAAATTTCACCAAAAATCACTTTGGTGAAATTTCTTCTTTTCCATTGAACACTTAATTCTACTGTTAAAAACTAGCCCCAACTTAGAGAATGTGACTCTCTCAAAGAGGCAGAAAACCCCACTTTGTGAAAAGCCTCAATAATTTTGTCACAATATCTTCATTCTGTTTACATTTTTAGAGAGTTCTATCAAATCGCCTAGTCTTATAAATATACACATTTTAGATAAACATGAAATGATACTTATGCCACATTTTTAGTTCAACGAAAAAACTGAGAATACTCACGATGGATTTCAATAGGAGGCAATATAACACTTAGTATCACTTGTTATTTCTTTTTTTTTTTTTAAGTTTCTTCTTAAATAAACTAGTACTCTTATACCAAAGTAAGACTGTTGGCTAGTTGATCTACAGAAAGAAAATTTTCAGTGTGCTCTTCTGTGAGTTCATCAACCTATCAGAATTCAGACCCAATCCCAGGAGAATGACAGATTCAGTTCCATCTTCTCCTAAGTGAGGGAAAATAAGAGAATGTGCTGCCTCTGGTTTACACTGTTATAACCCAGTCATGGATTTATTTTTTTTTTTTTTTTTTTTTTTTTTTTTGTTTTTTTTTTAGAAGAATGGGTTCTCTGGGACAGTCATGGATTTAGAGCATGAGGTCACCCAAGCTATTAAGGTAGTGAAGTGCTTATAAATCATTGTGGGCTTTTTTGTGGAACACTGTAATTTAATTATATACATCTTAGACTGAGTTTTATTGGCAGAAAACAATTACAAATGTGTAATAGAAAAAAATCACTGGATTCTTTAGGGAAAAAAATTAGCATCAAATTAATAAGCATCATGGAATGTTTCTGCTTATACCAATTCTTGATTCATTGGTTTTGTGATCCACACCTGCAAAAGAACACTTGGTATTGTTTATAAAATATAAGGGTTCCACAATTTGAGAACTACAAGTCTTAAAATGTATATATTGATAATTGCCTATAACTCTTCTAAAACATTTTTCCAATGATCATTTTTAATTGCTAGTTCCTAAGATGTCGTAGAGTATATTTTCTTGAATTTAATGGTGATAAAGATGATGGGTAAATAAATCTTACCTTGTCCAATCTATTTGTAAAAGTTTCTGGATGACAGGAGAATGGGGTGGATTTAAAACAGAGAAGCTGACTGCTGTGCTCCAAAGAAGAGAGGACAAAGACCCATTCCGGAAATAAGTTGTAGAAAGAGAAAAGAAAAATCAGATTTCAGAGACATGACAGAGAAAGGAACAATAAATCTAAATGTGAGGAGACAAGAGTGAGGAACAAAGAAACTTCAAGGCAGCAAGTATGTAAGCAATTGGTGATGGTTTTTAAGTGATAAAATGAATGGAAGAAATTTCCTTTGCTGTAATTTCCTTTCCTTTCCTTTTACGTTTGCTGTAAAAGCCACCCACAACCTCTTGAGCACAAACCGTTTATTGGAAGATGGAAATAAAAATGCCAGTTGATTAAGCAAAAGAATAATGAAACCACTAAAGAAAGATATTTTAACTATAAGATCCTAGATATCCTCCAAAGCTTAATACAAAAATTGGTACAGTGTTATAGCATGAATTTCATGTCTAATAGTAATTATTATGTTACTTATCCAAAATGAGTTAATATTCAGAACCACCTAGAAAAGGGCCTGGTACATATTAAATGCTATTAAGTATCTGTTAAATAAACTCTTTGGATATCTATCAAAAATTGAGTTTTGGCATCAAATCTGACTGATTGAATACTTAGTTCTTATTATTCTCATGTACTAAATCTTTTAATGACTCTCCATGTCTTACAAAATGAAGTCCAAGTTCCTTAGTTTGGCATACCAGGGCCATTTACATTCTAGTCCACACCTACCTGTCCAGCTATGATAACAGGTGGCCCCCAATAAACCATGGTATCTTTGCCGTTGTGTAGTGTAGTCACCCCAGCCCCGAATCTGGGCTGTATGTGTATAATATGAGTATAATATGGTGTGACATTCTGCCAGTTTTGGGTCTAAGCCCTAAGAAGCCGTGACAGCCTCCACTTTGGGGATCTAGCCATTATGTAAAGAAAGCAGCTGTATGGAGAGACCACTCAGGGAGGGAAGAGAAACTGAGGGAAGGAAAGGTAGAAGGTGGAGGGGGGGAGGGAGGAAGAGGGGGAAGGTGGGGAGAAAGAGAGGGTGGGGGGGAAAAAGAGATTGATTTTCAATCTTTCACTAATCCCCACTAAGGTGCCAGGCATGTGAGTGAAGCCACCTTGGATGCTGGAATCCCAGTCACCATCTGACTGCAACCACGTGAGAGACCCCAAGAAAGACCAGCAGCAGAACCATCTGTTGAACCCACTCCAACCTATAGAACCACGAGAGATAATAAAACTCATTTTTTTTTTGTTTTTCCCTCAGAGACAGGGTCTTGCTCTATCGCCCAGGCTGGAATGCAGTGGCCTGATCCTTGCTCACTATAACCTTAAATTCCAGGGCTCAAGCCTCAGCCTCCCAAGTAGCTGGGACTACAGATATGCACCACCATGCGTGGCTAATTTTAAAAAAATTTCTGTAGAGATGGGATCTTGAACTCCTGGCCTCAAGTGATCTCACTTGGGCTTTCCAAACTACTGAGATTATAGGAATCAGCCACCAGGTGTGAGCCACACCTGGCCTGATACTGTTTTTATACTAGTAAATTTTGGAATAATGTTATTCAGCAGTAAAATTGCTAATTATTCTAATCCCCAGTACACCTTCCCTAGTACTCTATCTTCCAGCTATGCTGAACTGCTTGCGCCTCACACACACCATCTATTTCATGTCTCCATCCTCGCCATGTCTTAGCCACAGTTCCCCCCACCTCCTTCATTTGTGAATGAAATCTGATCCTTTCTGCCTCAAATACACCTTCTCATTTTATGCACTTTGTGATCTCCCTATTTATCCCTGAAAATCCTCACCTGGGCTTCATCTCTTAGGTAAAGGTAAAGACTTCCTTGACTCTTCTAGACTAATCTGATCACCATCTTCTATGAACAATTTCTAGATTTTTACATATTTCTTCTATGGCAGGTACCATGTACTATATTATTCATTTACCATCTGTCTCCCCTTATTAAGACTCCAAGGCCTGAGTTCAGGAACCAAGGCTTATTCTCTCTTAAAGGGTAGCACAGATGAGACATTAAATGTTTGGTGAATTTCAATGATAGAAAATGACTTGATATTCAGTTTCAATTAGGAGGTGTTTGACACCTGGCATAATGAAGCTAACAGGTACTATAGAATGAGAGACACCTGGTTCATCTACTAAAATCTGGTTCACCTACTAAATTGTGTAATTCTAAGCAAGTTTTATTAAACAGTTTTAATTTCCATCTACCAAAAATCAGAAAAAATATCTACATCTCATGGTTAAATTATACATTACACCAAGTGAAACATTTATTTATAGTATTATATAAATGCATACTTGTGATTAAACCATCCTCAGCAACTAATCCAGTTATGTTGAATCTTGTCATTTTGTGTACTTACAGACATACACATGCTTCTCACTAGAGACAGAATGGCTAGCCTTTGTTTGGAACACTATTTTAACAGGTCTTTCTTAACCAATGAGATTGTGGAATTTAGAGGAAGATAATGGAGCTGGAATAACAAAAACTTACTATTGCGAATGAAACACAGCAGATTCTTTTTAAATGTAGTAATTCACAGTCCTTGTCCTCTTTAACATCAAGGCCTTCACCTTCACTGTCCCCTAATCCCCTGACTGTAGCCTCGACTTTGCCATCTAAGCTGCTCCACCTCTAAAAATCTAAAACAACATATTTCCTCTCTGTAACCATAAACCTTCTATTCTTAAACAGTTTTGCCCTACTACACTTGTTCTTCCAACTCAGTAAACTTTTTAAAAATAGAGATGGGGTCGCCCTTTGTCGCTCAGGCTGGAGTGCAGTGGTGTGATCAAAGTTCACTGTAGCCTCCTGAGTAGCGGGACTACAGGCACCACCCACCAGCCAGCTAATTTTTTTCATTTTCATTTTGTAGCAACAGGGTCTGGCTATACTGCCCAGGCTGGTCTCAAACTCCTGACCTCAAGTGGTCCCCTGCTTCAGCCTTCCAAATCACTGGGATTACAGACATGAGCTGCTGTGTGCCTAGCTAACTCAAGAAACTTTTTAAATCTCTTGACTCCTCTATTTTCTCTTAGTTTATTAGCCTTTTCAAGGCTTTCTTTCTCTATGCACTCTTTTTTTTTTTTTTTTTTTTTTGAGACAGAGTCTCACTTTGTTGCCCAGGCTAGAGTGAGTGCCATGGCGTCAGCCTAGCTCACAGCACTCAAACTCCTGGTCAAGCAATCTCCTGCCTCAGCCTCCCAAGTAGCTGGGACTACAGGCATGTGCCACCATGCCGGCTTTTTTTTTCTATATGTATTAGTTGGCCAATTAATTTCTTTCTATTTTAAGTGAGAGACGGGTCTCGCTCTTGCTCAGGCTGGTTTCGAACTCCTGACCTCGAGCAATCCGCCCGCCTCGGCCTCCCAGAGAGCTAGGATTACAGCGTGAGCCACCGCGCCGCCTTATGCACTCTTTAACCCTTGGTTAATTCTCCAAATCCCTGCTCTCTTGCTCCTTCTGGATGTGCCCTATATAACTCTGACTACCATAGTGCCTGCACACAGTAGATACATGATAAGTATTTCTAAAAGAACAGAAGAACCAGTTCATTAGTCTGCCTTCTCTATTTTAAAGCTGAGCTCGCTACAGAAAATTAATACAATCGATCTGTACCATTATAAAGTCTTAATTTTTAAGTCTTAGCTGGACTCTCTCAATATTCTTTCACTTGTAGATGATCAGACATTGCTTCTATTTTCTTTAGCATCTAAGCCTCTGCCACTGTCTAAAGTTCTCTATTCAGCCTTAGTCTACTCTCTTTTCCTAAATCCTTTAAGCATCTTACTATGCCCACTTACCTAGAAAGAAAAACTACCAACTAAAAGTGTACTCAACTTCCCAGCAAATCGGTATCTTCACCAATCTCTCCTTCCTTCTAATCTCAAAAGAAGAGATTTCAACATTCTGTTAAAGGCAGTGTCTTTTGTTTTTACCTTGGCCCAAATTTCTAACATCTCCTCTAGGAACTTGCTCCACAAATTGCCCATCCTTTAACAGATCAGTCTAACCTATACAGTTGCAATAGACCCTTCCTCTCCAAATGTAAATATCCTCATTATTTCTCCATCTCTCTAAAAAATCTGAATATATGCCCCAACTAGTTAACCTCAAATCACTCTTTTTTTAATAAATTAATTTATACTCTGTCTTCAGTTGTTCACTTCTAAATCATTCTTTATCCATTTTATCCATATTTTAATTCCTTACTTAACTTAGTAACTGACACATATTAAGCACTTTCAACATTTCACTGAAAGTTGTCAATTATTTCTTCAGTAGCTGAATCCAGTGGACAAATTTTAGACCTTAGTTTACACCTGACCTCTGCCAGGATCAAAACATTGACTACTTTTATCACCTCTAAATATTAATTTGCTGACCTTTTATGGTATCAATCTCCTGGCTATTTTCCTAGAAGAATCTATTTCCTAGATTCTTCCCTTATATTTTGTTCTCTCAGGCACTGTTTAAGTACCACTATTCATTTACATTTTATCCTAAATCATCTTTCCTTCCCACTGGAGAAGATGGGGAAGAAGCAAACTCTAAAGCTTACTACAAACCCCTGTGATGCTTTCCTAATTTCCATCCCCCACCACAACATAGTATTAATCACTTCTTCCTCTGCTAATTATGTTAACATTTATGTGACCTGTACATGTTTCTTTTTGTTTATGTTTGCTTATATATTTCTGGAAACTTACAAATCATTCCACAGAAGTTGACCTGACTCCAGAAACTGATTTTGTAATCTTTCTTAAGCCTCTTTTGTACTTTCTTTTACAAATAAAAAAAATTGAACATTTGGTCCCAACATTATTCAAATATTTTTAAGATCAAATCAAAATGTCTTAAATTCCTTCTAGAGTTAAGTACTATAATCATATTTTAATCATGCACTTTTTAAAAGCTCTACTCACCCAAAGGCTGATCAGTTGTTTGCTCTTTATTATCTGTACAAAGATAAAAAAGCAAAACGTGTAAGATATTGTTATTCATGATATATTTTCAGAGTTAAAGATATCTGAAAAGTAATAAATAATATCAGTGGCATCATTAAGATAACAGCTAACAATTTCCAAAAGCTAATGTACAATTTTAAGACCTTTGGATTTTTGAGAAAGACATTCATGAAGGGACAGAACTGGAATCAAAGCAGTGGAATTCCCTTGGTAACTGATTGCCACAGCTGGGGTAATAATCTTTAGCAGGTTAGTGGAAATTACAACCTGAAAACGATGGTGGTGTTCATAAGCAGCAGCAGCAGTAGTTGTTAACACTGACTGATGCCTTGGCTGGCACTGTTCTACATGTTTTATGTAACAGATCTAATGAAACCTAACTCTACCCTATGAGGTATGTACTATTATTAACCCCATTATACAGGTAAGGACACGGAAGCAGTGAGAGATTAAGTCACTTGCCCAAAGTTATCAAGCTAGCAAGTAGCAAATCTGGATTCTAATTTAATAAGCCTCATTCCAGATTCTATGCTTTCATCACATATTACACATAAAATGAAGTCCTGCTCCCATCCTCAGGAAGAGATGCAGGGAAAGGTGTCGTTCAATCAGGCATACATCTACTACTGAGAGGGTAACTTTGCACTTCTAGTAAAACAAATGCCACTGGAGCCTATTAAAAGCTTTTCCTGGTGGGGTGTGGTGGCTCACGTCTATAATCCTAGCACTCTGGGAGGCCGAGGCCAGAGGATCGTTTGAGCTCAGGAGTTCAAGTCCAGCCTGAGCAAGAGCGAGATCCCATCTCTACTAAAAATAGAAAGAAATTAATTGGCCAACTAAAAATAAATAGGAAAAATGAGTCGGGCATGGTGGTGCATGCCTGTAGTCCCAGCTACTCGGGAGGCTGAGGCAGGAGGATTGCTTGAGCCCAGGAGTTTGAGGTTGCTGTGAGCTAGGCTGATGCCATGGCACTCTAGCCTGGACAAGGCAACAGAGTGAGACTCTGTCTCAAAAAAAAAAAAGCTTTTCACACACATCATTCATTTTTTAAACTACTCTCCAAACTGTGGGGAAGAAGGAGATAATCAAAGAGGGGGCTAGGAAAATTTGAGAATTTTAGAGGTGGTTGTTCATTACAGTTTTTCTAAAATAACTTTTTACAATGTTCATTAAAGAAGGGCAAGAAATGAAAGGCAAATTTAGGAAAAGGGGATTCTATCCAGACCAAGAGAAATAATTACTAGGATGGTTTCTGACACCTTCTAGTTTTGGATGTTTGAAGCAAGTCTTACTGAGAATACTACAGCAAGGAGAATGATACACAGGTAATGGTGGCTTTCTGCTGTGTCTAATTTGCTCATATGCAATAAGCACAGCCCAAAGAGCATTCATAATAATAGATGTTTATTAATGAAATATGAGTATGACACTAAGCAAACTAGTTATGATGCTCAAATAATGAGAAATAACATGTAGAGAAATAACACAGCTTTGAACAAATATTAAATGACATCATTGCCTTCTTAATCTCCTGCAAGGTTTTATTTTCAGGTATACTCACAGGTTCCACCGCTGTCTTTCAGAATCCCCATAAACTACACTGATGTCCTGTTTTCATGTCGTCCTCATTATTAATATACCTTTTACCTCAGTGAAGGCTTTCCCTTTAGCTTAGCTTGTTCGGAAACCTGTTCTAATTAAAGTTAGTCTACAGAGCTCTCCATACTCCTGCCAACCAACTGTCAGTCTCTCAGTGGTCGCTGACCAACCCACCTGTGCAGTGCCAACTATTCCCAGGAAAACACTTCTTACTTCAGGTAAAGATGCCCACCCAGTGAATTCGGATACACTCTACAATTGAGCAATGGAGACAAGGTCCCAGCGTCTGTCCTGTTTAGAACTGTTACCTATCACTCTTTCAAATACTCTTGTCTTTTCGGATTCAAGATTGTGCACTTCCCCCACCATTAACTTACTTTTCATGATATAAGGAGTAATACACAATGATAAAAAAATACAGGTTTTATGGTTTTATGTTGCCTCAAATATTTATGTTTTATGTTGCCTCAAATATTTATCTTGCTACCCTTATAGTTTTACAATCTAAAATATTTTTAGTGTTTCACTTGCATGAAATTGTACTTTAGGTAAATAGTTAATTTCAACCTTAAGTTATATTATTGCAATAAAAAACTGCTAGTATTACTCTAGCAAAAGAGTATCTATAGTATTTTTATTATATTCAACAATTTAAAAATCTAAAACTAATGTTCTGTTTGTACTACTCACCAGGATGCCCAAGATTATTTAATTCATCTAAAATGGAATAAGAGAAAATAGATTAATTTTAAGAAATATAACTGCCAATTTACCACAAATAATAAGACTAATCAAAGTAGTAACTTTTCAGCCATTAAATCAGGTTATAATGTTTTATCAGTTTAGAACTTTTCAAATTAATGAAGAAGCCATGCAAATACTGAATAAGAAAGACTACTGTTATGCACATCATTTAGGACTTCTAAGCTATTAATGTTTTTCATTAAATGACAAAACACTAAGCTCATTCATAATTTGTTCAAAGTTTTAGATATTCTGGCCAATTATGGGACAAAAACAGTCAAGAGATAGGTTTGTCTGTAGCCCCAACTATAAACTTCTTGAAACTAATTAATAATCTCAAATGATCTTTTTAAAAAAAATAAGCAAATATCTATGACATTATAGCTATCTGATTTTTTTTCTTTTAGAGATGGGGTCTTGCTATGTTGCCCAGGTTAGGCATGAACTCCTATGCAAGTGACCCACCTGAGTCCTGAGCCTCCTGAGTAGCTGGGACTAAAGATGTGCTCAACCATGCCCAGTTTATTTTTTTTTCCTTCATGAATTTAATGAAGATAAAAAAATTAACATTTAACAGTAAATTACAAATGTTATACTATTCCTAAGATGTTACACACACACAAACTTTATTCTTTTTTTTGAGAGTCTCACTTTGTTGCCTAGGCTAGAGTGAGTGCCGTGGCGTCAGCCTAGCTCACAGCAACCTCAAACTCCTGGGCTCAAGCAATCCTACTGCCTCAGCCTCCCAAGTAGCTGGGACTACAGGCATGAGCTACCATGCCTGGCTAATTTTTTTCTCTCTATATATATTAGTTGGGCAATCAGTTTCTTTCTATTGATAGTAGAGACGGGGTCTCCCTCTTGCTCAGGCTGGTTTTGAACCCCTGACTTCGAGCAACCCGCCCGCCTCAGCCTCCCAGAGTGCTAGGATTACAGGAGTGAGCCATCGCACCCGGCCCAAACTTTATTCTTATATGAGACATAAAATCAACTAAGGAGGGTATCAACCAGTGCATGAGTGTAATTTCTTTTGCCTTCAATCTTACAGACTAGACTTATTCCCAGTTACTTGGGTCAGCAGCACACCTTATTCTTCCATCCCTCTTCAGTGAGGCTGTTTGAGACATTTATAATACAGCTAGAGTCTTGTCCCTCTTGGGGTCTGCCTCCTCTGACCTCCTAAATGACTGTTTAAAATTTGTATACATGTATTCACCATTACAGTTAATCATACAGAATAGTTCCACTGTCCTAAAAAAAATCCACCTATTCAACCCCCACCCCTGATCCTGACACATAATATTTGTGCATATTTATGGGCTACATGTGAAATTTTGACACATGCATAGAATGTGTAATATTAAATCAAGGTATTCAGGATATCCATCACCTCAAACTTTTATTTCTTTGTGTTGGGAACATTTCGACTCTTTTCTTCTAGCTGTTTTGAAATACACAATAAATTATTGTTAACTATAGTCACCCTATAGTGTTATCAAATACTAGAACGTATTCCTTCTATCTAACTGTAGGCTTGTTTGACCTATATCCCAAGAGTAACCATTGACCACCCTCTCTTCATTCTCTTCCACCTTCCCAGCCTCTGGTAACTATCCTGCCCTCCTCTCCATATATGAATAGAGACACATATACTAGCAGAGACACTGTTTACACACAACATGTCTCGCACTGTTGTAACTCTTTTTGAGAAAAAAGGATTTGGATCTAATTTTTCTATCTGAAATTTTTGGAGCAACTTCATAGCTGGATTTTCATCTCTATGTTCTTTTTTTTTTGATGGAGTCCACTTGTTGCCCAGCTACAGTGAGCGTTGCCATGGCATTCAGCCTAGCTCACAGCAAACATCAAACTCCCTGGGCGGCGGCTCCAAAGCAACTCCGCTGGCTCTCCGCCTCCCCAGAGTAGGCTGCGGACAAACAAAGGCATGCATCCACCGATGCCCGGCGCTCATTTTTCTCTCATATAAAAAAAAAATAATAAAGAGTTGTGCCAATTAATTTCTTTCATTTATAGTAGAATGGGCATCACATCAGCCTCAGAGTGTTTCGAACATCCACAGTCGAGCACACCACGGCCTCGACCTCCCCAAGAGTGCAGATTACAGGCCATGAGCCACGCCGTGCCCGCCCCATCTCTATGTGCGTGTTATTTTGGAAAATATAGTTTGGTATTGGCCACTGCCATATAAGAGATCTTTTCAGGTATAGGAAAGCCAGCCACAGCAACCCTTGTTAATTCACATGGCCACCCTGAAGAAAAACACGCCAGTGATAGGCTTCACATGTACTTTCCCTTAGAGGCCAACATTGAAGAAGTTTTTACACGTGCATGCAATAGGGCACAAAAGCAGAGAGAACGAAAGATTAGATTTCTTACATGGCCTTCCCATACGTATAACAAATCATGAGATTGGAACTCCCTTAGCTGAAGAAGAATCTTTTTTTGTTTGCTTGTCACCAAATATTCAGGATGTAAACAGTAATTGATAGTCATTTCAAAGGTGATTACCACAGAGACACAAAGGACAGGAAAATCAGGAAATGTAAGATTTAACCTATTAGTTCTTACTTTAACCCAAAGTGAGCTTAAGGTGTGCTGTAGTAAGGGAGGGAAAAAAAAAAAAAAAGCAGAAATTAAAAAAACTTTCGCGTCCAGCAAACCTAATTTTGCAAACCAATGTGACCATCAGGTCTAAAAAAGTGAGCCGTAAGCGTTTTTTCTTTTTTTTTTTTGTGAGAAGAGTCTCGGCTCTTGTTGCCCCAGGCTAGAGTGAGTGCCAGGCGCCAGCCCTACGTGCTCACAGCAAACCTCCAACTCCCTGGCCCAGGGCAAGTCCGCCTGCCCTCAGCCTCCGAGGTAGCCTGGGACCTGCATAGGTCCATCCGCACCGATGCCCCCGGCCTAATAGTTTTTCTATACCTATTAGGTTGGCGCCATTAATTTATTTCTATTTAGTTCAGTAGAGACGGCATCGCGGTCGCCCCTTCCGCTCAGTGCTGGTTTCGAACTCCTGACCTCGAGCAAGTCCCGAGCACCTCAGCTCCCAGAGTGGCTAGGATCACCAGGGCCCATGATCCCACCGCGGCCTGGGCCACTAAGTTTTAAAACTTACTTATTACAATTTAAGTACAATATTTTAGTTAATTAAAACAAATGAGAAGTTTATGCTGAAAAAGATTTTTAGTTCTCTTTACATATAGTAAAGGTGACATGGCAGATTAATCTACAGCTTTGTAGCTTCAAAAAAATACTATAAATTTTTTATATTAAAACAGAATATTTATAATTTTAAACATATAAAACGTGTGTTAAATAAATTTCCTGTCCTGAAACTTTTATAGAAACTATATTTGCATTTGAGAGGCATCTCATCATGGCTAAAGGATAAAATAATCTAAACAAACATCCATGACAGGATAGCCACCTATCTTTTTTAACAAATTTTATGCAGATAAAAATTAACATTAAGAATTAATTACAAATGGTCACTACTCAGAAGATACTATACAGAAACTTTTTTCTTATATGTGATAAGAAGGCAACTGAAGATTAGTTATTGTAATAGTGTCTGTGGCAATTTATAAAATTTCAAAGACTAAGATATAATACCCCTCAATCATAATCCTTTCTTAGAGCTAGTATTTTTTCCATTACTGCACTCAGTAAGCTAAGAGCACTGCACCAATCCCGAGAATAACCAGCATGCAGGAGATTTGGTTTCAAACCAAAGTATTACACTACCTTCAGTGCACTCCACTGCCTCATCTGTTCTTCCTTGTTTCAGAGAAAACAAATTTGAATATACTGTAATTCATGATCTTAGGAAGGGCAGCCATTAAGCACACAGATAAATATCATAGAGATATACTGGCAAAACAACATGTGCATCAAGGTCAACATGCATTCTATTACAGCATAACTATACTTGTGATAAGCTTAAGCAGAATTCCCAAATTATGCAGTTCACAATGGGGACTGTTGATTAATAATCATTCTTACTTCATTTGTCTATAATGTTTGTTTTAAAATGTTTTATTAGAACTCTTTTTCACTAAATTAGTATTTTGTAGCTAAAGCTCTGAAGAATACATTTTAGCCATAAATGTTTAAAATAAACTATAAAATTAAATAACTAAAATGATCTAAATAAAATAAATAGCTTTTTCCCCTGGTTCTTTTTGCTTTTTGTATGTGAATCTAGATTATGCATTTAGTATGCATTGTCTCAAATTTCATAACTCCTGATACTTAACACACAAATAGTATGGGGTAAAAAGAATTTCCTTTGCTTAAATGTTTCAGTTTATATAGCTCATATTAAAGTCGACTTGTGAGAACACTGAGTAACACTGCTTACCTATGATGATTTCTACCTTCTTGCTATCTTGACTGTCTCGATCATTATATACATGACACCAATAGGTTCCTTGATGTTCCAAATCCACATAAGGCACCTATATCAAGATCAGAACATACACATATTTCCTCTTCAATTTTAATTTAAATTGGCTTGGAGAAAAAGTCATTTTGTGTTTTAACAAAACTCTCTAAAAGATAACATTCAGAAGGCTTTAAATATTGTTAGATTAGCTTCATTAGGTTAAATACTAGTAAGCAAATGATATAATGATTCTATTAGTGGTTAAGTTTGATGCAATACTATTTGACATTTTGCATATAAGCCCATGATAAATTCTAGCACTTTTGCAAATATAAAAGCTAATATTAAATCATAGAGACTTTAAAATACTGAAAATATTAAATAACAAAAAATGAGTTTTAATGTTCACCTAAATTTCAACTGTACAATTTGTTTTACATATTAATCCCCCAAAACACTCCCCAAATCAACTTCCTACCATGTATAGCTTTTTTGTCTCATGTGTTAATGGTGATTCATTTTTGAACCACTGGTAGTGAGGAATAGGGCTTCCAATAGCAACACACTGTAAAACCAACGTGCTGCCTGGCATCAGCTTCTGGGACCTTGGTTCAACACAAATTTGCAACTTGGATTCAGAGATGCCATCCAAACTTCCTTGAAAAAGCTCTAGGTTAGAAATAAAAACAAAATTTTTCTATAATTAGAAAAAAAATACATGTCCAAGTTCACCCCTCATTTGTTATAGTCTTTAATAACATTTCCCAAACCATGTTTCACAAAACTATAGCACTTCTAGAAATATTAAGAGATGTTCTATGGACAAAAGAATGCCATGAACAAATAAATTTAGAAAATTCTGGGCTAAACAAGGTTAAACACGTTTCTCTATTGCAGGACTTTTCAATGTTAGTATGCACTGTAAATTAAACTGAGGAATATAGTTCAAGTGTTTTCCAAATGTGTCTGGATGAAGCATCTTTTTGATGGAGCAAATAACTTATTAACATCTTCAATGATATTCACATTCAACATGGAAAGCTTTATGTTCTGTTCTTTGACTTACTGAAATAAGAAGTTTTGTTATCAGCACTGAATATAAATGGAAAGGTTATCACTAACATTTCTTCCCTAGGCAGATATCAGAAACAATAACACTCATTTACTATTCTTTAAGTTCCTTGAGGGTGCAAGGCTTGTCAGTTTGATGCAGTACCAAGTCTCTACTATGAAACTCAGTGTCTAACACATTGCAGGTAATCAATAGTTGTTAGATATGATTCCATTTATAACTATGTTAAAGTGTATTACATGCATAGAAATAGTCTAGAAAGATATAAATTGCTCTCTTAATTAATCGTGATTATATCTGGAGACTTTGTTCCACTCTCAAACAGGCACCTTACCTGGGATTTGATATCCTGTTCTGGGCCACCACAGACACCGCCCCCCCCACCTACTCAAATGTCCACCCTGCTTGGCCCCACCTTTAGAACTGAATGGATGAGAAGAGTAAGCCAGCTGAATGTTTTACAAACTTTTAAGGGCAGAGTGTGAACTGGCATTAGTGTGACCAGTAATCTTAGGCAGCCTGGGTCAGAGGGTTTCCCAGGATGCAGGTGGTAATGTAAAATGGTAAGACTATTTTGGAAACGATTATATTTGGCAGTTTTTAAAGAAAATTAAACACACATCTACTCTGTGACTCAGCAATTCCACTTACAGGTAATTATCCAGAAGAAATAAAAACATATTTCCAGAAAAAGCCTTTTAAGTGAATGTTCATAGCAGCTTTATCCACAATATTCCAAAACTGGACACAAACTTAGTTATCAATAAGACAATAAACTAACCTATTCATATAATGGATTATTACTCAACAAAGAGAGGACTAACTGCTGATATACCTAGCAACATGAATAAATCTTAAAAATTATGCTGAGTGGAAGTAGTTGGATATAAAAATATATGTATATGACTCTATCTTAAATTCTAAAACAGGTGTCCTCAAACCACGGCCCCGAGGGCCACATGCAGGCCTCCTAGCACATTTATCCGGCCCTCTGGGTGTTTTTGCCGCCACTGCCCGTCCTGCTTAGCAGCCGACTCATCCCGGGCCCACAGTGCGCACTCTCCAATGGACTGAGGGACAGTGAATTGGCCCCATTTAAAAAGTTTGAGGACCCCTGTTCTAAAACAAGGAAAACTAAAATCAATTTGTGATGAAAGAAATCAGAAGAGTGACTACCAGTGAGAAGGGCTGGGAAAGGGCACAAGTGAACTCGCTCAGCTAATGAACATGTTCCACATTTTGATGTGGGTGTGGGTTAAACAGATATGTATTTGTTAAAACTCACTGGATTGTACACTTAGGATCTGTATATTGTGTTGTATGTAAATTATACCTAAATAAAAATAGGATGGATGGACACGCTTGAAGCTCTTACTCGAGGGGGCAGGGGGGCATGGGCAATATATGTAACCTTAACACTTGTACCCCCATAATATGCTAAAACAAAAAATAAATTAAAAAAAATAAAATAAAAATAAAAACAGGATGAAAAAAATTAAAATTGAGAGAGGTACATGAGATACTTTTTCTTTGAAGAAAATGGTGATATTCTTTTATTCTCAACAACCCTGACATTATTTATTTGAGTTTAGGAAAAGGCTAAAAATGAGAGAGAAGAATGGAAGACAGACTTTAACAAAAAGTCTGTTTCCCTCTCTATTTTGTTTAGCAAACACAACAAAGAATATGGTCTTGATTGTGCATGTAAATAAACAAAATATATCTGATGGCTACTCTAAGGAGTAGACTGGGTCATTATCTCGATCAATACTAGTTATAAGACTAAAAAGATAGAGCACGATGAGTAGATGAATGATGAAAGTTTTGTTGCACTGAATGACATACTACATGGCCTTTAGTGCTGACATCAACTCTAGAGTTTTTCCACAACAGAAATGTTCAGGAGCAATACAATGATTTGGGAGAAAACAGACATTATAGAAAGGAGCTGAAAAGTAACAGCAACACTATGTTAGATAAGAGTTTTTTCTCCTCCCAAACCAGAGACCACAACATTCAAATCCACAACAAACTGACCTCTAGTTGACTCACACCCTAATCACAGAACTCAAGACCATCATGTCTTATACTCTTTTTGTTTCTCTACTCTACTTTTTACAATGATAGTATTCAGCACTCATGAGTAACTTCAAGAAGTAGCATTTTCCCATGATGTTAGTTTCACAATCTGTTTCTTAAATAAGGAAAAGTAAGTTTTGGCTATAATGAACCCTTCAGAGATTTTTAGATAGCCCTGAATATGTGCTTTAAATAAGAAAATATTAAATGCTCTTGATGGAAATGTACCCATCTCTGACTAGTGAAACATAATTTACCCTGGTTTTTCATTCTGTTGACAAACATCTACTGAATGCCTATTGGTGAAATGTTTGGATTCATCAAAGATTGTTAAGACCCAGACTTTCCCCTCAGAAGCTTAGTCTAATAGGCAGATAGGCCTGACAATAACAACAGAAAGATAGAAGTATGTTCAAAACGTTAACTTTTGGGAGGAAGAGAAAGGCAGCAAAGAAGGCTCTGAGGAAGTCTTTCTGCTTCCTACTGCAACAGGTAATCATTCCTTCCTGATCATTCTGTAAGTAATTTGGGTCAGGGGCTCTCTCTAATGCTCAGTTTAGAACAGCTTTAATACCTAAGCCCAAGACTGTGCCTCATGAAGGTGTTCAATGAATTGCCTAACTGATGAGTGACCGCTACCTGCCAAGGCTGTGGTCTAAGAACTAGAAAGACAAAAGGGAACTATGAGCTACTCTTTACCCCTACACAACTAGGCAAACAAATAATTTTAAAAGTAATGCAACAAGTTCTATAATAATAGAGGTAAAATCAGAAGGCCAAGAGACTAGAAGAGGAAGCTGAGGCTTGAAAGAATCATGAGAGTATGCCAGGAGAAGAGGTATTCCAGATGGAAAGATGAACTGACGCAAAGATGTGAGTTGTGAATAAACAAGGCATATTCAAGACAACAGGAGTGGCAGGAGAAATGAAGCTTGAGTACATACAGGTGCCATGCATGAGGGTAGCTAATGGGCCATGAGGGAAGGAAAGGTTGAAGAGGTCAGGCACAGGAACCAGACTGAGGAGGGCCTATGTCATCCTGAGATCTGCACACACATGTGTGTATGTGAACACACAGAGAAAGACAAAGCATATGGAATCAAATCTTAACAACTGTTGACATTATATTGGATGAAGTACATTTGTGAGCTTTTGGCACTCTGAAATTATCTAAAAGTAAACATTTAAAATAAAACAAAATAAGGCAATCCTTGTCCCAACATTCAACTTCTTTTATCACTTACCCTGGAAGCTTTCTGTTACATCTGTGACATCGCAAACATCTAGCTGTGACCACTTGCTGAATTCAAAGGTGAAATTATTATTAACTCGACAGACATAAAAGCCTGCATCTTTTACATGCACCGTGTTAAAAATAAGTTCTGATGTATTTCCATATGGAATCTGTGAAAGAATCAATAAGAGAATAAGTGAATGAACTCATCAAAAACATGTCTTATAAAATATACTGTGGAAAATCTATGATTTCAGTATGGAGACTTGAAAGTATGTCTTGTTCTCCCCACCCCCACCAAGTCCTAAAATATTTTTGAATTAAAAAACAAACAACATTTTTGAGTTATTTAGGACTAAAGTATTAAAAATCCACAGTCTTTTATAAATCAATTAAGTAAAGTTGTCCCCCATATATCTTCCAAAAGCTAACAGAAAACCATGTGTCATTTAAAACAGTTCAATCATTGAGTGCTGAAAAGATCTAGAATCACAATGTTTATGAGTTAAGCAGCCATACAATAGGACAAGCACCACCATGGTTAGACATGACTATGATTTTCGGCTCTGACCAAATTAGCTGTAAATTCACAGACAAGTTAGTTCACTTTGAGATTTCACTTTCTGATCTGCAACATTCTCTAACAGGATAGAATCCTCAACCAAACAATATCCACTCTCTTTCCAGGTCTGGGCTGAGAAGGGCTAAGGAAAGCTATCAGTGTTGAGGGGAGCAGCCACCCACGGGTTCCCAAACTCTTCCCCAGGGCTCCATCACCCCAATAATGTTTCTTTCACTTTTTCTGCTCACAGCAATGTATCAGCTACACAAACTTTGGCACATTGCTAAGGGGTTACCCAAGTGTCTCATTATATTACAATAACTCCCTTGCAAAGGGTAGGTTGAGCATTACAAATCTGAAAACCCAAAATCTGAAATGCTCCTAAATTTGAAGCTTTTTGCACATTGACATGACACTCAAAGGAAATGTTGATTGGAGCACATGTAATTTTTGGACTTTCAGATTTGGGATGGTCCACCAGTAAATACATAATGCAAATATTCCAACATCTGAAAAAAAAAACTGAAATCTAAAATACTCCTGGTCCCAGACATTTCAGATAAGGATATTCACCCCTTTTCCTCTGCAATCCCCAACCAGCTGAAATCAACTCTCTCCTTCTCAGTAACTGCACCAGAGCAGGACCACTCTGCTGAAGGCATGACAACTGGGCTGACAGGCTGCATTTAGCACTGCTTGACGATCCTATGCTATCCTGGTAAATCTGCTCTCCTACTAGATTATTAATATATACTCGCTCTGCCTCCTCAAATCTCCGGCAATCCTACCTTCTCTTAGGCATTGACTTCAGATAAAAATTATACCTTTTCCTGCCACCAAATCACAGACCTATCCCTCCTGTTAAAATGGAAGATGCATTTTCCTAATAAAGGCTACATGAGCTAAAGATCTATGGGGATCCACTCAGATCCTCAGGGTTGGTATGAAGATTACATTAAACTGAAGACATGTGAGATTCAACAGAGGCAGAAACAAGTCTTCTCAGTCTCTCCTTATCTGACTACAAGCAGAAAGTTCTGGGAAATGATGAGGCCGCCATAAATTCCCTCTTGGGGCAGCTTTTACTCCCAGAAAGGAGACCAAGAGTAAAACCCCTTTATGGCCACAAAGAAGGGGAAAGACCACTGGCACATGCACAAATAAACATTATCACAAACTTTCCTATTTCCTCTTGCTCTTCTAGAAACTCATTTGTCTTTCCAGAAGAAACCTATTTATTCCCTCAGAGGCTCCCCAACACCTGTCTTTTCCCTACTAAGTTATAACTTAGCTATTTAGCCAGTTATTTCTTTTGTAAGCTCCTGTATGCATATAAGTAAACTTTTTCTCCTGTTAATCTGTCTTCTTTCAGTTAATTCATGGGCCCCCAGGTACTGAACCTAAGAAGGTAAAGTATTTCCTCCCCCCAAATTCCATCTTCTCTTGACCTTGTTCCTACAATTTTTTTCTCTTTACTTTAGCATCTACTTCCCCCTTTTACTATATTACTCTCAAAAACATACTCTAGAATCTTCTATCTTAAATAAACCAAAACACCAAGCAAGCTTCTCCCGCCCCACTCTTTCTCTTTGCAGCACTGAAGAAGCTGGCCACCTCTTTCTTCTTGAAACACTTTCCTCTCTAGACTTCCACACCATCCTCTCTTGGCTTTCCTCCTATCTCTCTGGCAGATTCCTCTTAGTTATCTCCTTGCTGGTTCCTGATCCTACATAGCTCTCAATGCTGCCTCCCCAGACACCCAAACTTCCCAGCTGATTCATCTAGATTGTACTAGGCACTTCAAATTTAACATATCTAAAGTCAAACTCTTGAATTTTCTCCCTAAACCTGGTCCTCTTCAATCTTCGACATGTCCCTGATGCTCAAGCATAAAACCTAAGGGTCATCTTGATTTCTCCTCCTTTCTCCTCATGCTCACATCTAGTCTGTCACTTGGGTTAAACACATTTCTAAAATACATACTGAATCACGCACTATGATCCACCGCCACTGCCATACCCTAGAGCCCACACTACTGCTATTTCTAGTCAAGCACAGGCATTAGATAGCTGGGCTTCTTGCTGTTTTCTGCTTCTTTCAAGCAGCAAACATAAATCCTATTGCCTTACTTCCCTTGCTTAAAACCTTTAGTGGCTTTTCACCTCCTTTTATCACCACCCTGTTGGTTTTCCTCATAGCTCTCCACTCACAGAACTGACTATATGTGCTTACTGTTTGTCTCCCCACCGCAGTGTGATGCTCTTGCTCTGGCGTAGAGAAGTGCTGAGACCTGGTGGTCACTGCTGTATTGTCATGCGTTAGAACACGGCCTGGCATAAAACAGGCACTCAACAAACACTTGTTAAATGAAAATCTCCTACACCTACAATAGACCTATCAACAACCTATAAACATGACAGTGGTTTGACAAAACTTGACTTGTTAAGAGTTTTTAAATCCATTACAACTATTCCAATCTAAGACACACACCCCCACCCCCTACATTTATACCTTTCTCTAATCAGGACATATTTTACAAACAATACACATAAATGTAGCAAGTTTTACCCAATTCTTCAAAAGTCATTCATTAAAATGAAAACAATGTTACAATTAAGAAAATATGGTAAAAAATACCTTTAGCTACCATCTCTCAAGAGCCTAGGCACATAAAACATCCTGTCTACTTAATTCTCACAACCCTTTATGATAGGAATTCATGTGGCTAACAAGTGTCATCAGGGTTCCAACACAGACCTCTCTGGTGCCAAAGAAATGCTTCAGCAGACACAGACGTAGCACATCCTCCCACCCCACCACGCTCTCAAAAAAAAAAAAGAAAACAAATCAAAATTTATTAAGAAATAGAGATACATAGTGCAATCCAACATTAAATAATAGAAACCCAACCACATACTTCTTACATATTCTATACACTAACCACTTTTGAACAGCGATATCTCCAACCTACAAACACATGAAACTACAATACCTTATTTCTTAAGGAATTCCACAAACACTCGATGTTCTACAAAATAACATGTATAGATTCATAAATAAAATTCTAGACAAATGGGAGTCCATTATTATCCTTTATGTGAAGATCTGAGTATACAACAACATGCAACACACACCAAAACAACAAATTCAAATCCCTTATTTCTCAGAACCACAACACAGCACAAAAACAGCGGAGTTCTCAGTTGAGCTGTGCGGCTACACAATTTGAATCTCACTTTATTTGGGCTTTTCCCATATCCCTGCCACATCACCTCATTCCCATTCACCCTCTCCCTCCTCAGATATCAGTCCTTAGGAACCACCGCAGCGAACTCAGTCACAACACCACTCACAGCACAGTATTCAGCTATCCTTCCAAACCTTGATCCATAGTCTCACATGTGCAATCTAAAACTAAATATAAAGCGTTCTCAGATTACATTTTTCTTTTAACTATGGACCACTTATTCATGTATAGAACGATTTGTGGTATTATACTCGTAAATTTTATCTTCATCTCTATACACAGACGTAAAGTAAAACTGCGTGGGAACTTGTTAGTAAAAGACCCTCTCTCGCATCTAGAAG